AATAATAATAATAGTAATAATAATAATAATAATAATAATAATAATAATAATAAATAATAATAAATAATAATAATAATAATAATAATAATAATAATAATAATAATAATAATAATAATAATAATAATAATAATAATAATAATAATAATAATAATAATAATAATAATAATAATAATAATAATAATAATAATAATAATAATAATAATAAACAATGCGTGAAGCACTACAAAAATCTATGTTTTGGGATTTGGACCAAATCATTAAAGTGATAAGTCTAATTTATTGTATTTACTACATAAAATTCAAAATTTCCAGTTATTTTAATAAATCATTTCGATTTCATTTCATCGTGTTTTCTTTTGTTTTTTTCCTTTTTTTGGAAGAAAGAAAAATTCAGAAAGTTGATGTTAAACGAAAAAAATTCTGGATTTTGCATTTGAATAAATGAGTCTCACATTCCTAGTCTAGCTTTTTGCTTAACAGAGCTTAAGAAAAATGAGCCAAGCATTAATGAAATCCCAGGGGAATATTTGAAATCTTTCTAGATATGAGGCAAAGCCAGTATTTCAATATAAAAGAATGTCAGATTATGCTTAATAGCTTGTAAGATAAGCCTTTGTTGCAGTTATTGAACAACTAATTTCATCTAGAAAAAAACTTTTTTTTAAAACTTTCACTTTTGTCAAAACAAAAAAGCTTTTTTGTTGAAAGTTTTGTCAGTTTCCTGATTTTTAAATGTTTCAATTGGAAAAGAGAAGCAAATCTATTAGTTTAAATGATCACTTGCAATTGGTAATTGATTATAAACGAATTTTAAGATTTATTAGAATTCATTAAGTTAACTGACATAAATTTACATTAATTAAATCAACTAAAGTAAATTAGTAATAAAAGCAAAATATGCGATAATTAACTAATCAAGCAGTATAGTATTTATGATCAGTAAATTAGAAATATTCGTGATGGCATTTATTATTACAATGAATATTGTTCAGGTAAGTATAGTTGTATTACAATGATAAAAGAAAGAAGAAAAGAAGGATAAAAATAAAAAGATGTCAAAACTAAAGAAAATGTCTCAAATTTTGAAAAATTAAATTCAATTTCGAATTGAATAATTTTGATAAATGAAATAAATAATGTTAAATGAAGGGAAATATAATGCAAGACACATCTGGCCATTCAAAAAGGGATAGATAATGATGATACAGGGAGGTCTCTGATTGAACCTTTTTGTGAAGTAGTTAAAGGTTTCAGAAAAAAATTAAAGCTTCACTTCATTTGCAGGAAAAAGGAAAGGGGAAAAACGTATGTTAACTGTGCTGCTAAAATCGCTTTGCTTTTTTTTTCTTTTTTCTCCAGTTTAAGAATTATCGAAAATAATTTTTGCAAACTTCTGAACCATTCAGTTGATGAATGATAATTCTGAGCTAGTCAATGAATGAATGATAATTTCAATCTAATCGGTTAACTATTGTAATGATAATTCCAATTGAATTGGTTAAACAATGATAATAGACAGTAAAATTAACGTACAGCATAATATATGTATTGGTATATATTAAGTTGATAGAATTTCCATTAAAGTAAATGATAATAGCTGAAATTATCTTGTAATAAATCAAAAATAGAAGTTGCATAACGAATAGAAAAAAGTGACATGAAAATTTGATTCAGAAGAATAGATAGAAAATAAATACAATGAATGATCCGGTACAATTAGTGAAATTTCTGAAAAAAAATTTAAAGCGTAAATGAGCAGTAAAAAAAATGATAATTATAGAGGAATTGAAATTTCGATCAATTAATGCACTTCGATCAATAATTAGCAATCATGAAAGGAAATTTTTCATAATAAAATTTGTGGCAAACAAAAGCGGCATTTTATAAAGTTTTTTAATAAAAATATCATTTAAAAATTTTATTCGAAAATAATACAAATTGGCGACATTTTCTGCAAGTGAGCAGCTATAAATTTGACAATTTGAGAAGTTTCACGCCATCCAACCCTTCTTTTTCCAAATGTTCTCATTTATCCATTCGTACTTCGCTCTATTTACTCTTCTCAATTTTTTGCTTTTTGTTTAATTTAGGATAAGAAGGCATCGAAATTTCGAAATTTATATCATTAGTGAATGAATTTAAATTTGAAACAAAATCTGATTCCCAGACAGTCAATTATAACTAATCTATGCGACAAAATAAATTATGGATAAAACTATCAAATCAACTAAATGACCTCATTTATTATGTTGCTATTCAAATTATACAATTAAATCGAGTGATTAAAAGAAAATTAAATGATAATAATAATTTGATCTTTTTTTATAATATAAACATAAATATATATAAATATATAAATATATATATATATAT